GGTTTTCTCATATAACATTCACCACTACTTGATACCATATAGCTATTGTTTCCCTCCATAGAATGCAAGCTTCATAAAAGCACTGGCTTTATTTGCTGCATTCCATTCATATGTCTTCACACCCCAGAATTGGGCTTTGTCCACAGTAGGAGTTCATAGATATTTGTCTGGTGATCAAACCTATGAAGTATTTTCTAATTTGCATTGATTGCAACTTTTAACTACTTCCAATTGTCATTAGTTGAACTCTGCCACTTTACATTTGCTTTTATATTTAAAAAGTCTTTTCCCACTTTTATTCTGTTATTCTTACCTTAGACTTTGGTTCAAATTACGCTTTTATTAATAAATCTAGCTAGAATTCATTTTTGTTTATGATGTGAAGATAAACTTATCCCTTTCTCTAATTCATGAGCTTATTAAATTTTTGTATGTGCTTAAAATGTCACCATTAACGGAACGTGTATAATGTGCATATCTACATACAGAATATCCCTTGTAAATTCTTCATATTGTTATTACTTAAAATTTTAATTCATTTGCTATAAATACTGTAGGCATATCCATTGAACTACATCCTTTTCTTGCCCTGATAAAACTTCCATTCAGCTGGTCACAGGATACTCATGATTTATTATGCGATCTGAAATTAAATTAAACCAATGTGCTTGGACATGTAGTAAGACTGCCTAAAATGATTGCTTTTCAATGTTATCTATAGCTTGCTTTTATTATGTCTAAAATTCACTATATATTATATTCACATATCCTATGCAAAGAGGAAAGAGAAAAAAACACAAATCAGATTATAGAAGGAATTTCTAGCTTGGACTTTATCTAAGATATTCTATAAAACTTTGATAGAATATTGGCACTGGCCTGTGTTTGGCTGAACTCAAAAACTATGCCAGAATTTTCATTTAATGGGTTTAAGGCCCATGTGCCACTTTCACATTGTAGCACCCTCTGTGCCCATTCACACATGTACCCATTCATTTTGAAAGCCATCTGTACTTCATAATACAAGTGCAGACCACTTGCATTGCCCTGAGGGTTTACTATCTAACAATGAAATCCACTTATTTCGTTTTCTAACCAAAATAATGCTTTCTCACTCAAGAGATGTGCTGTGCATCTGCTATTTATTTGGCATACTTTCCCCCTCTCTGTTACTCACTTCACAGTTTGGATTTAACCAGTGTATTGGGTAAGATGAAGAACGTTATGTAGACCAAAACAGTAGGAAGTGCTAATTTTCATCAAAACAGCAAGTGAAAAATTTACATAAGAAAGGTGTAATTTGGTACTTCAATTATCTGAGCCTAGATCTTTCTAGAATTGCCACAATTCTGTGTCTAATAGATGAATTTCCTTGATCTTATCTGTATGGCATGAAAATAATATATCACTAGAATTCAAATTAAATTGGTAATATTTGAGAACCACTGTGGAATAAGCCCAAGTCTTATGAATTATACTGTGATTTTGAAGGTTATGTAAGATACAATATTTTAATTCAAAATTTAAAGTAAAAATCAAGCCTGCATTAAGAATGAACAAAGAAACAAACAAAAACC